AACAATAAAATGCAACATATGTCTGAAAGTATATATCCTTTTCTGACAAATATCCCTTTCTGACCTTTACAGGGTTTAATACCCTGAGTGACCTTTGGAGAAGTATCACCAGGCTAAGTATTTACGTGTATATAAGAAGATTTGGATCAAATGCTGCCAAGAAACAACATCAGCATATTTATAGAGAACAGAGAAAATCAATTGTCCTTTATACACTAAATAGTGTGCCTTGGTGGAGGGGTGCCGTCAATAATTGATACACACAACTAAGTACCAGGTAGTCGTACAAAGTGCTACACTGCTGCTATTACTGTCTCCAACATATGGCAATTTTTATGCAAAGCCCTTCATAATATTCCTCCTAGTTAATTCCCCATGTATATCATACCCACCCAGAGATCCATCGAGATGTAACCCACAATATATTTCATAGAGGCCATGAAGAAAAAATTCCACATAAAGAATTCAGGTATTGATCTATCCGTCAGGGTATTTAATTTTCCCCATCATTAAACTTGATGAATCGATAGATTTAAGTTACAAGAGTCTGGCACGAGGAGACAGCCCCCCCACCAATGGCCAGAGTAATGCTACACAGCTGTGTCCTTTATATCTGCTTGCCTTGGTTCAAACTTGGAAAAGCCACACCAACATACCATGAAATAAGAATTTCTGGGGTTTTTTTTCTTCCTGGAACAAATTGGGCAATGGAAATAGGAGATGGAAACCAAATCAATGGACAATTGGATAAAATGGGTATCTGCTAGAGCCTGTAGGACAGGATCAGGTTTTATTTGGCCCCTGTCGGCTGATGGGGTCAGCGTGACACATGGTCAATTAGGGACAAACCCAGACAAACTGCAGTATAGGGTTTCACTCACAAATCAATGCATTACTGCAGCACAAGTGTCTCCAACTCATAGTGATCAATTCCTATAGTGGTCAATTTATCTTCTGTACCCTTCAGGACCAATAATCTAACGAAGAACAAGTGTCCTTAGGCTACCAGTCTGAGTAGGACTCTGGAGCAGGCACCAGTACATCACACCCGTCTGGCTATACACAGATTTATATCTTACCGATGTTCATACATCTACTCCAAAACGTGTAGTGTAGTCAAAATATGATGGAAGCAAACTGATTTTTTTCAATTATCACAAGGGAGCAGTCTAACTTCTAAATCATCCAGAGAGCAGTCTCATCTCTAAATCATCATACGGCAACACTCTCACCTCTAAATCATCATACGGCAACACTCTCATCTCTATTTCATCATTAGGCAACACTCTCATCTCTAAATCATCATATGGCAACACTCTCATCTCTCAATCATCATACGTCAACACTCTCATCTCTCAATCATCATACAGCAACACTCTCATCTCTATCTCATCATACGTCAACACTCTCATCTCTAAATCATCATACAGCAACACTCTCATCTCTAAATCATCATACGGCAACACTCTCATCTCTAAATCATCATACGGCAACACTCTCATCTCTAAATCATCATACGGCAACACTCTCATCTCTAAATCATCATACGGCAACACTCTCATCTCTAAATCATCATACGGCAACACTCTCATCTCTAAATCATCATACGGCAACACTCTCATCTCTAAATCATCATACGGCAACACTCTCATCTCTAAATCATCATACGGCAACACTCTCATCTCTAAATCATCATACGGCAACACTCTCATCTCTAAATCATCATACGGCAACACTCTCATCTCTAAATCATCATACGGCAACACTCTCATCTCTAAATCATCATACGGCAACACTCTCATCTCTAAATCATCATACGGCAACACTCTCATCTCTAAATCATCATACGGCAACACTCTCATCTCTAAATCATCATACGGCAACACTCTCATCTCTAAATCATCATACGGCAACACTCTCATCTCTAAATCATCATACGGCAACACTCTCATCTCTAAATCATCATACGGCAACACTCTCATCTCTAAATCATCATACGGCAACACTCTCATCTCTAAATCATCATACGGCAACACTCTCATCTCTAAATCATCATACGGCAACACTCTCATCTCTAAATCATCATACGGCAACACTCTCATCTCTAAATCATCATACGGCAACACTCTCATCTCTAAATCATCATACGGCAACACTCTCATCTCTAAATCATCATACGGCAACACTCTCATCTCTAAATCATCATACGGCAACACTCTCATCTCTAAATCATCATACGGCAACACTCTCATCTCTAAATCATCATACGGCAACACTCTCATCTCTAAATCATCATACGGCAACACTCTCATCTCTAAATCATCATACGGCAACACTCTCATCTCTAAATCATCATACGGCAACACTCTCATCTCTAAATCATCATACGGCAACACTCTCATCTCTAAATCATCATACGGCAACACTCTCATCTCTAAATCATCATACGGCAACACTCTCATCTCTAAATCATCATACGGCAACACTCTCATCTCTAAATCATCATACGGCAACACTCTCATCTCTAAATCATCATACGGCAACACTCTCATCTCTAAATCATCATACGGCAACACTCTCATCTCTAAATCATCATACGGCAACACTCTCATCTCTAAATCATCATACGGCAACACTCTCATCTCTAAATCATCATACGGCAACACTCTCATCTCTAAATCATCATACGGCAACACTCTCATCTCTAAATCATCATACGGCAACACTCTCATCTCTAAATCATCATACGGCAACACTCTCATCTCTAAATCATCATACGGCAACACTCTCATCTCTAAATCATCATACGGCAACACTCTCATCTCTAAATCATCATACGGCAACACTCTCATCTCTAAATCATCATACGGCAACACTCTCATCTCTAAATCATCATACGGCAACACTCTCATCTCTAAATCATCATACGGCAACACTCTCATCTCTAAATCATCATACGGCAACACTCTCATCTCTAAATCATCATACGGCAACACTCTCATCTCTAAATCATCATACGGCAACACTCTCATCTCTAAATCATCATACGGCAACACTCTCATCTCTAAATCATCATACGGCAACACTCTCATCTCTAAATCATCATACGGCAACACTCTCATCTCTAAATCATCATACGGCAACACTCTCATCTCTAAATCATCATACGGCAACACTCTCATCTCTAAATCATCATACGGCAACACTCTCATCTCTAAATCATCATACGGCAACACTCTCATCTCTAAATCATCATACGGCAACACTCTCATCTCTAAATCATCATACGGCAACACTCTCATCTCTAAATCATCATACGGCAACACTCTCATCTCTAAATCATCATACGGCAACACTCTCATCTCTAAATCATCATACGGCAACACTCTCATCTCTAAATCATCATACGGCAACACTCTCATCTCTCAATCATCATACGGCAACACTCTCATCTCTCAATCATCATACGGCAACACTCTCATCTCTCAATCATCATTAGGCAACACTCTCATCTCTAAATCATCATACGGCAACACTCTCATCTCTAAATCATCATACGGCAACACTCCCATCTCTAAATCATCAAAATGGAGCAGTTTCATCTTTAAATCCTCATCACTTGGGTGTTTGTCCTTGAAATGCTAATTCTTTAGTTACTTAGAACATTTGAACTTGTTGCTATGTATGACCTTATTCAAGTGCACTTTTCGTTATAAATCTGACCTCAATATATCTAATCCCCAGCTTTAGCATCAGGTTTGTGCTCTGTTTTATTTAATTGAGGGTATGCAAAAAGTAAATTCTGATCATGATAAATGATCCAAAAACATAACAAGTACAGCTTTCCTGTTTTGTAGAAAAGGTACACAGGTAAATAAGTGCATCAAAGAGCATGTATTAATTGACACCGCACTGTACTTTACTGATTCCCCAGTGCGGTGGGGCCAGTCAGGTGGATATGGTGGACCGGTAGGGAGACAGGCAGACTGGGTCCTGATGCTGGGCTACACAACAACTGATACTGTCATCATCATTTACAGCTGTCAAACATCCACTTAAGATTATTTTGATTTTTCAATTTTATTTTCTGCCCGAAATGAAATTTTAATTAATGTGAAATTTTGATTGATTGAATTTTAATTTTGAATACACTACAGATTTTGTTTAACTATGAAACAAAAACCATTCCAACTGTACTGACTGTTAATTAAAAGTTATTAAAATGTAGAGGCTCTGACTGAACAGCAGAGATTTGAGTTACTCAATAGTTAATTTAGGCTTAAGCCTTTTTATGGTTTCTTATGAATGCTATATATATTTCACAAGTAACAGAATTATTTAATTTTTCACAAGTGCAAAGTATGAGCCAAAAAATATTGGCGTATTCTGTCCTATCACCAGGCTATGAGTGTAAGATGTATTCCATGGGAAAATCATTATTTGTTCTATTTACTACAAACTGACTTAAACGATGCACATGTTTCTGCATGGAAAAGTCTGAGTGTGGGAATTGATATAAACTTAGTGCCGTATTCTAATGACATATCAAACTTGACAAATAAGTCTGTAAACTATTTCAAGTGGACTACTCACCATAATTCTGAACAACCATGTATTTTACAATCAGTTTATCAGCATCTGAACAGATGATCTGAGACTTTGAATGCAGTGAATACAGTAAGTACCATTCTGATTGGTCAATACTAATTAATCAATGGTAGAGGTGGGAACTGATTTAACTCATTCACCACTGAAATTTCATAATGCAATCCAACCTTTGAATTGGAAGAGTTCAAATGTGTCTTCAGAGGTGAGTTAATAGTAGAGATGGAAATTTACTAAACAGAAGAGGTGGGGACTGATGATAAAGTAGAAATGGACATCAACTAAATAGAGGTGGGCATTCAATAGAAGAGGTGTAGACTCAATAACAGAGATGTATAGACTAGCTTCCTCAAATGAAATGTTGAGCTAAGTCCATATTAGAGGTAGAAACTTACTGAGTAGTAGTGGTGAGGGCCCTTGATTCGCCACATTGATAGTTCCTCCAAACACCGGTACACATCCTGGAGGCTTGAGCCTTTCAGCTGGTCAGTATACTTGACCGCTAAGGCAGCCAGACTGCTGTGACATGCTGAGTTGTCCTGGAAAACAAAAGTAAAATGCAATATTGTTTAAGTTTCATCCCAGTAATGAAAAGTTCCACAGAACTAATCTTTGTCAATTCAAGTTCCCTATAGCTTCAAATTCTCATTGCAAGCAAGATAATGGGAATGCTGGCAGCTTAATTATTGAATATATTCATACACACTTTAAACCAAATCTTGATCTAAAGGACTGTGTACGGTTTGGGCCTGTTTTGGCTCCCAAATGCATCAAAATTCAAAACCTTTAAATGAACTTTGAAATGACTGTTTCTTTAATTTTGAATACTTCCCAAATACTATTATGAAAATAATTATTTATATTTCTAATTAATGTTGCCATGGTAACAAGTTCAAATTTGAATAAATTAGAAAAAATTGAATATTCAGTGAATATTGTGATATTTTGCATAGTTTTCTCCTAGAAACTATAGAGCACATGCTTGAACAAACTTCATATCAAAGGATAATGTGTAGGCACCTGTAATACATCTGTAGGAGAAATATAAAGTTTGTTCAAGAGTGCGCTCTATGGTAGCTAAGAGAAAAAACTAGGTGAAAACCTGTCAAAATTGACTGAATAATCAAATTTCAATAATTTATGCAAATATGACCTGGTCACTATGGCAGCCAAAATTGAAAACAAAAATAAATGGTTACATAATAGTACTGGGGAAGTATTCAAAATTAAATAAACAGTCGTTTGAAAGTTCTATTGCAGATTTTTAATTTTGATGGATTTGGGGGCCATTTGTTCTACACATTCTTGTAAATATTGGATTTATGGACAAACAGGAAAATGAATACTGCAAAAGATTGAAAAACTGGCTTTACTCAATCAAATCCCCTCTAGTTGATCCAGTAATAGGTATACTATGAGGTAGGGGTGGCTTTGGTAATAACATACATATACACATGTACCGTAACAGAATATTAAAATTGACAATTTAGTGAATTTGTGGTCAAACTTGATATATATATACAGCAAAAACCACAACTATTATATATAAATTGCCAAACATATTGAACTATTGATAATATGTAAGTGGACACTAAACCATGTCACAATTAAATACTGTGAATATTTATCAGCATATAAACTGTATTAGGGTTATCACCTTACATACAGCTATATATACAGCTATATACAGCTACCTACAGCTACCTGTACATGGTACAGTAGACCTGTCACTGTTACCAGTGTGAAAAGTCAACAAAAGTCTCCACAAGTCAACTTCAAGTCAATACTCACAAACTGTCAATTTACATAGACCTGCTAACAGATGTACCTGTTGGTATTATAATTTGACAATGGGCCAGGACTTGTGGCACCAGAGGAGGGTAGACCTTGTGGGGTGTCCAACCCTACAGTACAGGGACACTTTGATGTAAGGATCACAGCGACATGTCACTGCCTTTATTTATCTCCCCTATAGCCTCACAGTTGGGAGACTGAGTCAACATTCTATTCCATATATCATCTTCTTTTTAATATCTACCCTCATAACAAATGAATATTCCGAGACACTGACAAACCCAGATCAGGTCTTTTGTGTAATGCTGAGAGAGAAAGAATGAGGCCAGCATTATTCCAGTATTCCCCACTGTGTATTACACAAACACAATTACAACTGGTCATAGACACAAAGTCTGCAGCAAATCAAAAATTTAAATCCACTTCCCATAGTCAAACATAAAAAATATTAAGATTCCAAATTTCAAATCTGTCAAATAATAATGACATGCACATTTCATTCCATGTCAGCTACAAATTGAACCACCACAAGAAAATGAAATTGGTGATCAATAAATCTGTATAATGTCCATTACAAAAGACATCTCTGTATGGACAATTAATGTTTCTTTTTTTACTTCTGTTGTCGTTGTAAGCTTATAGAGCTTTCAGAACTCATCAAGTTGACCATCCAACATTTTACTAGATTATTAGTCTGTAGTTACGGTAACGATGAACATGTGCCTGGTGTCTGGTACTGGTACAAACATATAAACACGCCTAGACCTGGCCAGCTCTCAGAGCTGTAAAACTGTACCTACACTATACCACTCCATTCATGTGCAGGCACCAGAGAACGGTATGAAATACAACAGTAATCTGAATGCAGAAATTAAACAACTATCCATTATTCCTGTACTTGCATGATGTTGAGTGAACCTTATTTTACCAGTTTTAGACAAACCATTTCGATCATTTCTAGGAGTGTTGGTTAGGTTTTGTTTACTGCGCAGAGTTTTGAAGTATACAAAATAGACATGTATGTTAATCAGTATCATATATATATTGCACAGTGAATGCAACACGAAACATTGATTGTGATATAATGGTCTTGAAATCTTTTTTTGACATGCATGTACACTGACATTGTCTAATTACAATTGCGGGTAATCAATTTGAACAGGCATACAAAAATATGAAATTTTACTGCAAGTAGAAACAAGCAAGAATTTGTATGCTTCCATTGATAATGGTGAAAACGGGTAACTTTTGATGAAAACACTGTGATGCTAGATAGATTGGTAATATATTACAGTACTAACTTTATATAATGTTAGACTTTACCCAGAAGAAGCAATGCTACTACTGAGCTATATACCTACATAACAGCATGGGGTGTCTCTCCCACACCAACACAAATTAATAGCCACACTACAAGTAAATTAAGATAAATACCACCAGCTTATTACATGTAAACAAAATGCAGTAATGCAGTAAATAGGTCTACAGATGGAGTGAGCTCCAGATGTGGTGGTTGTGGTGGTAGAAAGGCGAGGGGGAGGGGAGAGGGAGGGGGTAAGGGGGATGCTATCAAGGCGGATTCTAACAAGTTCATTAGCCCACAGTAATGGACTAGTTATAGCTGGTAACACCCATTCTGCAGACCAGTGAAATACAGCACCAACCATTAAAACACACTACACAGGCTCTACACTATAGGTACCAAAGTAAAACTCTAGCAAAGCATTACATTATTGCAATAATTCTCCAATTATATTGGTTCATTAATTACATTGTATCTGTGAGTATTTGAACCAGACCTATTTAACAAACATCACATGTTAACATATTGATGAAAGTGTACTGGGTTATCATCAGAAGCTTAGGCTCCATTCTGACTCGAAAATATGCCCTCGTTCTGACAGAAAGCCAAACTGTAAAGTTTGTGTATATTTCTATATAGTTGATCCACAAACAAGAATACAGAGCAAGCTAAGATATATAGGTTTCTTATCAATGATAAACACAGGAGTATATTATATAACAAGTTGACATGATGTCAGTGTATTGACTGGCGAAATGTGTTGTCCATCTCACCTATGTATACTACCTGTAAACCCCCACTACATGTACACCCTTACTGACCACTATCTGTATGTACACCCCTACTGACCACTACCTGTACACCCCCTACTGACCACTACCTGTACACCCCCTACTGACCACTAACGAACAGTCTCATACCTGTAGCACAGACAGTNGGGGGGAGAGTAGTTCACCAGGTACACAAAACTCAAGAACTACCTGTAGCTATTACACCCAGCATACAGAGACCCTTTACCAAAGGAACAGAGAAGGGCAAGTTTAACCCATGAAAGGTACACCCCTATACTCCCTGGAGGCTACCCGTAGTACACCCAGCAAAGAATCCACTCCACCTAAGTGGAATTAGTGTACAGGGGCTACCTGTATAGTACATCCATCATTCATAATCAGTCCCTCCCCTCCATTCATGGCTCTATGTTGTCGTATATATTTATCACTGGACACATGCCAGTATTGCACTACTATAGGACGAATATGGAAAGTAGATTAGGGAGACAACGGTATTTGGGACAGAGGCAGTGCAGGTTATATACAAGGAGGGGGGAGGGGGCTGTGTGTGTAATATGTTAACCGTAGTCCTTATTGGGTCTATCAATACACTGTATAAGTAAGTCAGAGGTAGGTAAGGTGGGTATACCCAGTACCTTACTGCTATCTTACACAGGTTATATACAAGAAGGTTGACAAGGAGGGGGAGGGGGCTGTGTGTGTAATATGTAAACCGTAGTCCTTATTGGGTCTATCAATACACTGTATAAGTAAGTCAGAGGTAGGTAAGGTGGGTATACCCAGTACCTTACTGCTATCTTACACAGGTTATCTGTAGCCAGTGAACACAAAATCCAAATCAAATACAAAATTTAGAGTTAACATCTTACAATAAACAGTAGGCTTTATATACATGTAATTATAACTGTGCTGGCTACCACACCTTAGCGAATGACTGTTTTACCTCTGACAGGTAATGTGTCGATAACAGATAGACATGCCGCTCCACTACCTGTAGTATACACCTGTAGCTGCCAACAATGGGCAGACGTCAGGAGGAGGACAAATTAAAGTGTTTAAAGGGTCGGTATCACTTACTACCTCCACACTTTGCCCTGTGAGACATATCCATTTATCATCAGAAGCCACCCACCTCACTCGTTCAATTGTTAATTCCTTATCATACGTTTAAATGTGATAGTGCTCCACCTGTCTCTAAAATGTTTCATACTTTTTATTGAATAAAAATACTGATAAGATGTACGTAAAACATCCAATAAAACTAAGGCAGATGTACACAACAGATCAATATCAGTTTAATAGTGTGTGACATCCACTAACATCATTTATTCGGCCATTTTTCTTAAATTTTAATCAATTTAACACCTGGACATAGTTTGAAGAAAAGTATGAATTAAGAGAAATATTTCGGCAATGTGGAATATAACAATGAGAAACCTTTCTGTTAGGTTAAAAATAGAACTTAAAATTGTAATGACTTTTATGATTCAATGGTGCAAGGCATGGACACCCAACAACAAAAGATTTCTCGCTGAAATGACAGTTAAATTTCTTACAATAATTGTGATCACTGAAATAATGGCTAACACTACCAGATCAGCGAGAAATTATAATATTCTTAAATAACATACTACATGAATGTAGTTTTTGTACCTCTTTGCAGTAATAACAAGTTATAAAATATTTGTAATTTTTATTTTTCTAACAGTAGTGGCAAATTTTTATCAAATTACAATAACCCTATACAGGTTTAGATAGTTTTTTGTCAGAAAATTAATGCACAATGATATATTTCTACAAGTCTACTGATCAATTTCTTTCTGGAAGAGATGAATATTTAACTGCACTTCATTAACTTATATCTAATTTTATTTTCTGTGTAAAGAATAATCAATATATCTATATTATATGTAGAACTAAACAGGAGCTTGTTTGGGGAAAATGATGTTTAGATTATTTTTTTGTAGTTATAAATATATTTACATAGATAGAAATCAATTTATTTTATTTAAATCCTGAGACTGTTTAATTGTAAGTCATAGCATTCATAATATAAATGTAACCACGTAAGTAAACACACCAGCACCCTATATGTGCTCCTGTCGATGACAAGTGTCTGTATATCACTGGCTGGCCAAACAAAGCAGTTAACATTCTCCTGCTATGATTTATGAACTCGACACAACAAACATGTTGTCTTAATGCTCCAGATTAAAACATAGCCAGACCCAGTCTACTTTGGGGTACATTCTCTTTAACTCCTAATGTAATTAACCAATTAATATTTTTTAAATCTAACAGTTAAACTTGACTACCTATATTATCAAGCATACACTGTCAGGAGCACCTGTGTAAACAAAACCCTGTGTAATCAGGAAAATTTGTGACAACATAAATATACCATCCTCTCCAATAGCACATACCTTGGACCTATACTTTTTATGTATCAGGGGGGGGGGCACAAGATTTGGTCCCCCAGCCCTGAAATAAGTCTCAAATGATTATAGCATATAGAAGATTGAGAAGGAACTGCTCTAATTAAAGCTAACATAAACACTTGTCAACATGTATGCTGCTGTAATATTAATACACTATACTGTCAAAGTGTGTGAGACTGTCGAGCTAAATAAGTCAGTTAGTAATTACCGGTTTGACGTAAGGAGGACACGCGAGGTCAATGCCATCCTTGACCAATTTGTCCCCGACATACTTCCTCAGCTGTTCCAGTGTTTTGTAGGGGACATCCTCTGCAGTCTTTGGGAGCCCTCGGCGGGAGGACGCACTTCTCGTCCCCAATTTAACACTCTTACTTTGTTCCGAACCATTCTTCACAACTTTTTGTTGAACATCTGTGTTTTCTAATGTAAAATAAACTGACGTGCCACCTTCTTCTCGGAGTCTGGTGACAGCCTGAAGTAAGATTTCTCTATGAACCCCGTTGTGAACCCCAATAGCATCAAGATCGGCTTCACCAATCTGTTTACACACTTCTAGCTCATCATAACCATTATCTAAAAACGCCTGCGTGTATAATTCCAACCTGACGGATTTTAACCAGTCCACTATGATATTATCCGACATCGTCAAGCATCATGGTGGTCCTATCCGTACCCTGAACTCCTAACACTTAGTCCGTCTCCTCACTATGGATCCTATCCGACAAGTGGAAGTAAGCCCACAACGTGATGCATTGAACACATTAGATTGCGCACGCACTTGAAATCGCAGTAGTCACTGACTCGGAGTACGGTGAAGGAAAATATCCGGATTACAATGTATCTCACCTAAACAAATATATGAACTATTCGCTGATATTACAGACTGATTTGTTTACCTCCTTATGATATTTCATACAGAAAGCAATTAGTGACCTTATTTGGAATTGTTTTATTACACGTGATTAAACGTAAATGAATTGCTAACAAAATGGAATGCCAGTCAGCACACGAGTTGATTGATTCCTTAGATATTGGACAATAGTTTAGTGACTCGCGAGTAAATATTATCATGATTGCTAAACGTATCTCCCAAAGCGATTATTTGACATGCACATCATGAATGATGCCCTGGAGACATTTTCTCCGACAACGACTACGGGCTGCTTATTATTTTCTATTTTCAATATTTTGATTACAAATCTGTACAAGGTTTTTACTACATTACAAACGTTACATGCAAATTAAGTATCACAATTTAAATACTAGTGTGTACTTTTAACATATACAGTAAATATATATGATATAAAGGAGAACAAAAGATAGGAGATTTGATCGAATAAACCTAAAGTAATGAACATATCGAGTACACGAATTTAATTTTTGCAATTTATACACAACTGTTTTGTATCAAATTAGTTGCAACATGGGAGGAGAACGTGCAACATGGCCAGACCGGAATTCGAACCCGGGACCTCCGAACTCTAGACGGACGCTTTTACCAATATTGAACTACTTCAGTAAAGCTGGATTCCAGAGGGTTCGGTTAAGCAAGGGTTAAACAATGTCAAACAATGTCAGGATCAAATGAATGTAAACGCCAGGATGAGATGCCGTCAGATACAGATACAAATGCCAGTACACAGAGGACTCTGACAAGACAGGGACCGGTTTACACAGGTTATACTACATAACTTAATAATACACCCCTCTCCTATAAACATGTACAGTAGGTTCATAACGATTCAGCATTGGTATTTATCTGATAAAACTAGTAGGGTTTCATTAATACATCAACATAACGATACGATACTTATCACGATAGTGGTCACACTACGATACGTATCACGATATATATAGTAACAGTAAAAGCACAGAGAAAAGTTACGTTACAAAGTTTAATATATTACAACTGGAAAAAGCCATGACTTCAAAGTTTTACACAATTTACCTCTTTCGACGTGATGCCGAGCTGGAGCTGGCCATGTTGGAACCAATATGAGAAGACTAGTTTCAGTAACGGCAAAATCATGAAAATATCGTATGTGTATCGTAACATCCCCAAAAAATATTGTGTATCGTACCGTATCCGAAATATCGCGATATATCGTCACAGCACTAAAAATTAGTAACAAACCAGATTGAAAATCTTTTAACAATGTAATGTTCACATACTGTCCATCCTGTTTCTTCTTACTGTTTCTGTTTGTACACCTGTGGATTTGTTCAAATTGTGAAACCAGAGACTTATACATATCTTATTTCCACTGCCGGAACAATATGATCATAAGTGTTTTTGCGAGATCTGCGTGAGTTGCCAATCTGTATCATATACGTCTCTAGTGAAACGAACGAAACGAATAAATGTTTTCACTAACATAATACTAGTGAATGAAATAAGCTTATAAACATAGGAAAGTTTATGCCACAGTTTTATCCAGTTTTTAATTGTAAATACTGTCAGAAGGTTTTTAGCCGTACTTGTCATGCGCCAGTGCAAACTTATACAGGAAGAAGAAGATAAATCGTAATAGATTTGAGTTAAGTGCGCATAGATTTTTTTTCTTTTTTTTTCTATCATTTTGTGTTTTGTGTTTTTCGTAAATTTAAGGACGTGCCAGTTTTTTTGTGGCGGAGGAAAGCCGGAGTTCCCGGAGCAATTCCACCAACCAGCGACAAGTACCTACAGCTGGCAACTGCTCACGTAGGCCTCGAACTCGCGACCTAGTGGTAGAGGGCTGGTGATCGTAGACGGTAATGTAGCAACCTAATCCAGTAAAAACAATAAGTTATTATAATATCTAGTATAATAAATAACTTATTCCAATATCTAGTATAATAAATAACTAATTCCACAAATAACTTATTACAATATCTAGTATAATGAATAACTAATTCCACAAATAACTTATTACAATATCTAGTATGATAAATAACTAATTCAACAAATAACTTATTACAATATCTAGTAAAATAAATAACTAATTCCACAAATAACTTATTACATTATCTAGTATAATAAATAACTAATCCCACAAATAACTTATTACAATATCTAGTATAATAAATAACTAATTACATTATCTAGTATAATAAATAACTAATTCCACAAATAACTTATTCCAATATCTAGTATGATAAATAACTAATTCAACAAATAACTTATTACAATATCTAGTATAATAAATAACTAATTCCACAAATAACTTATTACAATGTCTAGTATAATAAATAACTTATTACAATATCTAGTATAATGAATAACTAATTCCACAAATAACTTATTACAATATCTAGTATAATAAATAACTTATTACAATATCTAGTATGATAAATAACTAATTCAACAAATAACTTATTACAATATCTAGTAAAATAAATAACTAATTCCACAAAAAACTTATTACATTATCTAGTATAATAAATAACTAATTGCATTATCTAGTATAATAAATAACTAATTACAATATCTAGTATAATAAATAACTTATTACAATATCTAGTATAATAAATAACTTATTACAATATCTCGTATAATAAATAACTAATTCAACAAATAACTTATTACAATATCTAGTATAATAAATATCTAATTCCACAAATAACTTAGTCGAGCGTGTAATGTAATAAAAAAACCTATCCCAAATAAACAGCTACACTGGGGTTATTTAAAAACAAGAGACTTAATTTAATGTGTAGTTTAACAGCCACACAATATGTCGGCACTTTGGTACCGGTCTTTGTGTGGGATGAAGGGGTGTAGTGAAAATAATACTTCAGGACATTTGTTTTGGACACAATATTTTTTTTTACAATTAAAACTAGAATGAAAGTGAAAAACATGCTGATGAATATTTTTTAAATGAATTAGCATCAGTATGTAAATGCCTGTTTGAAATGGTGAGAAATTTTTCATAAGAGGTGACATGTGTCGACCATATAAATATTTGTAACTTTGTAGTTCAACCAACGACTAAGATACATGTAGCAATCTAATCTAATTCCGAATTAATGCTTACTACTTCGTACTACCTCTACATGTATGTATTTAGATTTATTGAGAGGATACCGTGACTGACTGTTGCTGCGGGTAGGGCTTTCCCTAACCCTTGGAAATCTCAGGATTCCCCGGCATTCTAATTATTTTGTATGATTTGCTGTTAACGAGACCATTCTTTCTGTATTTACTAAACTAATTCAAGATTCATTAACTTCTCTCTTCATCTCTGTAGTTAACTGATGTATGTATGTGCATTTAAGTATCAATTAATAATATTTGTATTTTGACTACACTGTACATTTTGTAACTCTTCAATTTGGAGGAAATAAAGAAATAATAATAATAATTATAATCTCATTTGAACGTCTATCTTAATTTTACACACTCAAAAAATCGTCTGCAACGATGTCCGTCGACAATCCGGAGTTTATTCAACGGACTCGGACTCATGATGTGTATTTAGAATGTCCCACTAATGATCTGCGTCAGTAAAAATAGCATCAACGTTTACGTTCAATGTAAGCCTTTCATAGACATGGTACTTATTGCACGTGTAGCAGAGAAACAGGTAAACATTTTTACGATTTGTACCCAATTAAACTGAATATATAGAATAATTTATAAGTCGGTATGTTAAATGGTTACTTTTCTTCACGATATAAACTGTCAACAGGACCAACCATGTTCTGTAAACAGTATACCAGGTGACTGTCAAGCCACATCGATATTTCACAGTCCCGTGGTAGCATTTACCCAATACATTATATGTTAAAGGATGTACCCTCTAACAATCATTGATGGCTCAAAGGAGTTTCAGTGTAACTTTCTGGGGGTCACCCATCCATCTAGTGAACTACTGACCACGCGCGACGTTGCTGAACTAGTAAGGCAGTATTTCCTCTCATATTCCTTGGCTGTTACATCAGTTAATCATTGATGGTTCAAATGAGTTTCAGGGGCCAAAATCTCCATAGTTTTGATTAAGTAAAGGGTTCCATAAGTTAAACTATTATTACTATTGTCACTCTTGTTAAATATTAGTTTAGTCCCCTTTAAAATCACTCCACTTCAGAAGTATTAAAAAAACACCAAAAAAACATGTTGCAATGTATTTTACAGAATTATATTATTTATACTTCTTCTTCTTGTGGATAATAGCAATTCTTCACATAAACTTAAGATTACATGCTATGCACTGGGAAATGTACAAGGGAATAAGGGTTATTTTTTGGATTTTTAACACATATAGATAAAACTTTTTACAGGGTACAGATTTAGAATGTTGAAGATAGGTATGACACAGGGATAGCAGACTTGAATGCTTCCACTGTGTCAGATGATACGGCTGAATATACAGTTAAGAAATTTGACTGTGAAAAAAAATAAAAGAAGAAATTGCAAAAAAAATCAGGGGTTACAATCTTTAAATTGCAAAGCCTAGGCTTTACCAGTAAGGAGTTATAAAGACTTTACCAGTCTAGGCTTTACCAGTAAGGAGTTATACACATAAAAAATGAGTGTCCTGTTTATGGGACGAAAAAGCCTATGAAAAATCAATGAACATAAAAAGATACTGTATACTACTCTATCAACGATTTACTTTTTTTGCCAGAAAAAAAATGTTCAGTTGCTAGCTTCATTTCCTTTGCAGAATGGAATACATGTACTCCTTGGAGTGGAACTTTCCTTATGATTATAACCCATGCAGTGGTACCCTATTACTTTTCACTTGTGTTTTTTTTTCAAAATGTGCGTTACCTATCACTGGTCAGTAAGATGACATTGGGTAATCGATACTGTGGCAGATTTTATTTGTAAATTGGATTAAGGTCGCCTTCTAGATTCGAGCTAGAGGGCATTTCCCTTTAGCTCAGTGGTAGAGCGTCTGACTAGGAACCTGGAGATCGAGAGTTACCATACGTGCCATGCTAGGTGAACACTACCACACAGGTGCAAACTAAATTGGGCATGCTATTTAATGGATAGACATAAATTTGTTAATTCCTCTGCAAGCTGAGAGCATCAGAGCAATAGCCAATTTCCAGAATTGTTTAATCAATATAAAAATCAAAGGGGTAGATCTAATTGTATGCAAAGTGAAACAAAAAGGGAAAATAGGAGGGGCCAATTTCCCTAACTGCACTATTTTAAGAAATTTACCATGGAACGGATTTGCTTAAGGATATTAATAAATGAGAAGGCATGCACTATTAAAAAAAAATAAGAGCACCTTATCACACTAGTAAATGATTACTACAGCAGTATATGGTTTTTCTTGTGGGTATAAATAAAACCTTCAGTCAGGTTTATTAATTTTTATGACATTTATTATGCAAGGAAAGAAATTTTGATGGATTTAAAAGGTCACAGAAATAGGAGTAAAATGTGTGGGTGTAGGCATGCATATTGCTTACTGGATGTTATATGTTGTTAGGAAAAGTAATAAATAATGAGATAGACATTTAGACCTGTCTTATGCAACCCTTCAAAGGACCACACAAACAAGTCACATTATTTGTCACCTGTCAATATTTTATTTAATCAGTGTTTCAGTATTTTTTTTCTTACTGTTCTTAAGGTTAAAAAATTTGATACTTTTACTGTATGTAAAATTTTAGCTATGGCCATCAGACTAAAGTAACTTTGAATGATATATTTTGATTTATTTTCAGATGTGAGGATCATCTAAGAAGAAGCAATGGGTCTGACAAAACAGTATCTGCGCTATGTCCAAGATGCAGTATTTGGTCTGGTGGCTAGTCAGAAATCCAATGTTGTATTCATGGAACTAAAGGGAGTGAGGGGGCGCCACTGTGCTGTAGGTGTGTGTGAAGATGTCATCATCTGGGACGTGCGCACAGGGGAAAAGGTAGGCACTCACAAATAGCTCATCAGATAATCAGTGGTGGACCTGCTGAGAAGTCCCGACCGGTTTTGGATCAGGCGAAAGACTAAAGGAAGACCTAGAATTGAGCGACGACTCGGAGTCGTCCGTGTCTACACCCAATACTTCGGAACATGGAGGGGAGAAATAACGAGGAACTATAAATTATACAATAATGTATCGGAATCCAGGGAGACGCTATGTCTAGACGAACTAGAATAAGCGATAAGCAGAAACAGAACAATATGTATGTGCAGATGTGTATAAAAGAATTAAACACTAACCGTGAAGGATTTACCAAGATAATATGGACATGGATAAATTTCAGAATATTTGATAAGAACTTTGAAATGCGTAAGAGTTATCTTGCTTGTTTAAAACATCAAGGGAATGACGTCATAATGTCAAATACTTTATTAATAGAATAGAGCGCCCGCATTTTTAGTGCTTCAGGGGTTATGAAAATTTGTATTTTGTCCTGAAGAAGCCGGCCAAAGGGCGAAACTGGTCGACAGATACTTAATTAATTGAAGCAACCTATCCTCATGCTGTTGTGATTGTTACCTTCTACCAAACAGCTGATGTGATACATTTCTTCTGGTCAAACCCCCAAAACACTAAAACCTTTAAAGACATATTCTAACTGATGTATAGGGATTGTGACAGACAACTGTAGCTGTAAGGCAAGATTCTACATAGCAATAAGAGGTTTGTTATATCAGTAAAAAACAGAAAGTGGAGATATTATAACCAGGTGATATTTATTATTACAGTATATGACACTAAAGGGAGACAGGCATGAAGTGACAAAGATAGCCCGTTCTCCAGACCGACGCCACATGGCAGTCGGCTACAATGATGGCATGGTTCGTATATTTGACATCTCATCAGGGGAAGCCACCATTAACTTCAGTGGGCACAAGTCTACCGTGACCGCGTTGCAGTATGATGCTAGAGGGCTTCATCTCGTGTCAGGTGCCAAGGTAGGTGTGAACAATCATTGAAAACAATCAGTTGGTGGTTTGTCCTCAAATAAAAAAAAAAGGTTTTTATTACCCCACAACATCTTTAGGTTTGCTTTTCCTTCTCTCTGTCTGTCCATCTGTTGATAAAAGCATGTCTGTACATATTTGTACATCATGTCGTTGCAAACCTGATATTCATTGTTTAGTTTCAATCTTTTTCTTAGAATTATTGACCGTTTTTGTGCTTCATCATATCAAGCCCCGTCTGGACAAATTTTCCAAAACTATGTATCGAATCACAATGAAACTTTCTGTGAGTAATATGTAGGAGTTGCCTACTTAAAGCAGGCTGACAAAGTTTTAATTTTCAGGTGTTAAGATGGCTGCCATGGCCTCTGTTTGGCTGTAACACTTCATAACTAGAGTTCTATGGGTCCAAGATATTTTTATACTTTGTGGGAGTATATATAAGGTTATACTTCATGTAAAACAGCCAAATTTTAGTTTTTGGGGGATTTAAGATGGCTGCTCAGGCCTCTGGTTAGCTGAGACAACTTAATTTGTAACCCCTGTTCTTTTGGACCAACTTTGTTGATGCTTTGTGGGAGGGATACATGGGGAGTATGATTTATGTGGAACTATCATGACCAACTTTTAATTTTCAGAATTCAAGATGGCTGCCGTGGGCTCTGATTATCTGAGACAATTAGAGTTTTGATTTGAGCTCCATTGAGCTGATTTGTTGATAATTTTGTTGGAGTGATATCTGAGGGATACATTTACTTTGAAGATTTCTATCTGGTGGTTATGTGGTTTAAGACTTATCGTGAAGTCTGATAACTGCAGGACAAAACTAGACCTCAACACGTAACACCAATAGTCTGGAATTTATCTTAAATTGAGGTAAATTTGGTACCTTATCATTATAAGAAGTGGAGTCCTGTTTTTTAATCAGAGTTTAACTAACAAATTAGGTTGGTGCACATGTTCTTAGTGCCAACCTCCAACCAGAGGAGTATAGCCTACTGGCTCTGTTTATCTAATACTGTAACATGTTATATAATAACTGAAGATTTACATGCTTACTAAAACTTATATCAGAAATGTTAATATTGCTGCGTCATTTTCTAGGATACAGATGTGATCGTGTGGGACATCGTCAATGAGAGTGGACTGTACCGCCTCAAGGGTCACAAGGGGATGGTTACCCAGGCAAGGTTTCTACCACAAAACAATGTGCTGGTCACTAGGTAAGTAACTAACGCTTGTTCTCCTCAATAAAAACAACAGAAAAAATAAATGTTACTATAACCTGCGGGAACTAACACTTTGATATCATCTAGGGGAGGGCATGTGATATTTCCCAGTGTGGTGTTTATGATATTCTCCTTGGGGTAGAAGGTATATCATATCCTGATATCCCCTATGATAGAGATCTATGATGTCCCTCAGTGTGGAGGTCTATGATATCTCCTATGGTAGAGGTTTATGATGTCCCTCAGTGTGGAGGTCTATGATATCCCCTATGGTAGAGATCAATGATATCCCTCAGTGTGGAGGTCTATGATAACCCCTATGGTAGAGATCTATGATGTCCCTCAGTGTGGAGGTCTATGATATCCCTTATGGTAGAGATCTATGATGTCCCTCAGTTTGGAGGTCTATGATATCCCCTATGGTAGAGATCTATGATGTCCCTCAGTGTGGAGGTCTATGATATCCCCTATGGTAGAGAACTATGATGTCCCTCAGTGTGGAGGTCTATGATATCCCCTATGGTAGAGATCAATGATGTCCCTCAGTGTGGAGGTCTATGATATCCCCTATGGTAGAGATCAATGATGTCCCTCAGTGTGGAGGTCTATGATAACCCCTATGGTAGAGATCAATGATATCCCTCAGTCTGGAGGTCTATGATAACCCCTAGGGTAGAGATCTATGATGTCCCTCAGTGTGTACTTCTATGATAACCCCTATGGTAGAGATCTATGATATCCCTCAGTGTGGAGGGATATCATTGATCTCTACCATAGGTCATAGATCTCTACCATAGGGGGTATCATAGAAGTACACACTGAGGTCTATGATAACCCCTAGGGAAGAGATCTATGATGTCCCTCAGCGTGGAGGTCTATGATATCCCCTATGGAAGAGATCAATGATGTCCCTCAGTGTGGAGGTCTATGATATACCCTATGGTAGATATCAATGATATCCCTCAGTGTGGACTTCTATGATAACCCCTATGGTCGAGATCAATGATATCCCTCAGTGTGGAGGTCTATGATATCCCCTATGGTAGATATCAATGATATCCCTCAGTGTGGAGATCTATGATATCCCTTAGGGTAGAGATCTATGATGTCCCTCAGTGTGGAGGTCTATGATATCCCCTATGGTAGAGATC